ACACACACACACACACACACACACACACACACACACACACACACACACACACACACAGACACACACACAGAGACAGAAAGAAACGGCGCAAGAAAGATATATCCACATTCTACATTCAACAAAAATCCAAAAACTCGGGACACCAGGGATGAAATATTCAAAAACCATGTTGTATTTCCTCCACAATGACAGAGACACATGATGATAGCAATATTTGCTCAACTCAAGGACACTGACAGCCAGAGGGGGGAGGGGGGGGTGGCCCTCACAACGCACTAACAAAGTCACTTGTCAATGCACTACTAGTGTCAAAATGACTCAAAACACGTCACATGCAAAACAAAAACGAAAAAAATTAATAATTAATAAAAAAAAACAAAAAAAAACCAAAGACAAAAATTAGAAAGAATTAAACATAAAAACATTTCAGGCAACAATCACAGGAAGGAAAAAAAAAGGAGGAAAAAAAAAAGAAAAAGAAAAAAAAAGGCAGCGAAGGAAAAAAAAAGAATTGTTTCTCGTTCTCACATTTCACTCAGCACTAATTCCTGCCAAAGACAGTAACTTACTCCCCTTCCAACATTCATCTCATTCATGGGGAAAACCACAAACTCATTTCTCCAACAGGGGATGCAGAGAAAAAAAACAAACAACCAAAATCACAAACAACCAAAACAAAAAACAAAAAAATCATCACCTCAGGAAATGTATTCAAAATGATCAACAACATACTCATTTCTCACAGGAAAAATCAATCACACATTTTTACCAGAGGATGCAGCTGGCATTATATATGAAATTCCCCCCAAAATTCTACCTTAATTAAAGCCTATTTCTAAACGATGAAAATCTCTGCTCTCTCTAACAACACAGCCCATCCACAACGCTGAAGTACAAAATGGAAAACTGGATGTGTGTGGAACTTTTAAAGGTTCCTTCCAAAATAACCAAAGACCACAGAGCTCATTGTATACTGCACACACACACACAGCGCGACACGCATGAATGCACACACGCACGCACACACACACATTTCCATCACAGGCAGTTCTGTCATCAAAGGTATTCTTATTGCTGGATTAGTGTGCAGTCATTTTTTCCTGACCCGTGCCAGACATACGTGTGCTAGGTTGTACTACACAGCTGGGAACACACAACACACTAAGACAATCACAACACACAAAAACACAAAAAACACACAAACTATCTCCACACACAGACAAACACAACACACACACACACACACACAAAACACACACAGACAAACATAACACACGCACATGAAAAAAGACAATATACAAACACAACACATATATATGAACACACAAACAATCACAACACCACATTAACAAACACAGACCATACATACGTCTATGTTATTACAGCCAAGCCCAGAATGCAATAACAAGACAACTAAGTCTTTGGAAATTGTTGAGACATTATACACACCGACATCAGCTGGATATAATCCAGTAAAAAAAAACAACCCCAAAAAACAAACAAAAAACAAAAACGAAACACGTCCCCAGAGCGATACCAAACTAGAAATGCCCCTTGTGAACGGTTGACGAGATTATCACACTCATGCAGAAAAAAAAAAGAAGCACTGGCTCTCCGGTTTCATGGTTTGAGACATCAATCCCACACACACTTCTCGCAGGCCACACGCTCAGCATTTGGTGAATCAGAAGGAATCAGTACACAGTTAGCACAAAAGCCAACAAGCACGCAATCAATTTTAGGAATATAAATGAAACATTCAGAAACGAGCACGCAATCATTTTAGGAAAATAAATGAAACATTTCTCATTTCTAAGACTGTCATATTGGCTGCACAGCATAGGGATAGACTCACTAGTAATAACAATAATAACAATAATAATAATAATAATAATAAT